ACTATAGCTGTAGTGTCATCAGCATATAATATTAGGTTTGATGATACATTGTTAGGAACATCATTTATAAATATTAAAAATAACAAGGGACCTAAAATTGACCCTTGGGGTACACCACAATTGATGGTTTGCCATTTTGAAATGAAATGTTTACCATTTTTCTTAATGACAGTTCTCTGTTGCCTATTTTTTAAATAACATTGTATCCAAGACAGTGCCAGATCAGATAAGTTATAATATTTCAGTTTATTACTTAATACATCATGGCTCACACAATCGAACGCCTTGGACAGATCACAGAACACTGCTGCAGTACTCTGAGATCCTTCCAAGCCCCCCGACACACGATTGATGAAATCAGAGACAGCTGATATTGTGTTTTTTTCTAATCTAAAGCCAAATTGATTATCTGTAAACAAATTATTATTTTCAAAAAAAGAGTACATTTGTTCATATGCTATTTTTTCAAAAACCTTTGATAGAGTTGGTAAAATTGAAACTGGACGATAATTTTCTGGGTTTTCTACTGAATCTTTTTTGAAAAGAGGTTTCAATTCAGCATTTTTTAAATGGTATGGAAAAATTCCTTCATCAAAACATTGGTTTAAAATCAGACAAAGTGGTTCTGCTATAAAGTTCATAATATTTTTTATTATTTCAACTGAAATCCCATCCCATCCTACTGATTTTTTATTTTTTTATTGTAGTTTTAATTTATGATACAGATACATGTCTGAATTTGAAATTAACTCTATGATTAATCATAAAATTATTCACTAACTTGGATGCAGTATCTAAACAGGGTATGCAATTAATGTCTTTAGAGGTGTTTGCAAACTTGACATTGAGAAAGTTAGAAATAGCCTGACCATTAGTTATCAGCTTATCTCTGACACACAAATCAGGGAAGTCCAAATCTTTAGATCTCAAGACACCAAGTTCAGACAACAGTCCACACTGCTTGGCTCAGCTGTGGTTATTACCTTACAGTTTAACATTTTCCGGGCTCTATCACAAACAGCTTTAAATATTTTCCTGTAATTTCTGTAATTGTATTTTCCAAAATTAACTTAACTTTAATTCAATCCACAGTCGAGCGTTGATTGGGAATCGTATTGTCATCACGTAAATCGTCATGTCGTCTGTCTAGTGTCTAGTCTATGTCTACACTCTACAGTACAGCTCCGCCATTGCTTGCTACACGAACGCACAACGCGAACGCAGACAAATACTTATTGCGGTCAAGGTTAAGTTGATACCGGCAATGGCGGCAATAGTTGCGCATTGAACTAGAGCTACAACGCAACCGAAGGTATCACCACAAACGATAGAACTCTCTGTGGTTTCACTGAATGCGAGAATTGAGAGACGTTGGCCGCCATATGCTCTAGGGGAATAGTACTTTGGAGTTTGGAACTAGGGGATTGTAGGATTGCCGTTAGCCAATGAGCTGGTTGAATCTTCTAGGGGTACCAACATAACAACATTTTAGAGCGTCTCGATTTTCTAGCAGAGTTGCTGTGCCAGTGCTACCCATCGATCTCTATTATTACTACAGCTGGATCGGGCACTGTGTGCTGGGTTTTCGGTCGGGCCGCTCGGTGCTCCCCCCACCACCTAACGTATAAACTGTCTCTCTCTTACTCATTACGTCTTATGGCGTTTCCGTGTTTGCGCTCACAAAATACGCTATATCTCTGTTCATAGTGGCTCGATTATCAATTTGTTTACACAATTGTAATCTGCATGAAATTGCGGAGATTATTGCATATGATTTATATGAAAATAATTCTTTTTTAGATTATATTTTTACTTAAATCTACTAAATACGGTTTGTTGCTGCCACTTTTTAAATTAGTTATAAAACTGTTATTATTTTAACTTATTACTTTTAACATGGCTAATGATTAATTAATTAAATTAAGCATACACACTTATGTTTTTTATGTTTAATTTTATGTTTTTTTTAATGTATTTAACATGTACGAGAGGACCCATGGTGATTCGCACCATTAAAATAAATATATTACCCAAGAAATAATCAAATTTATGATTTTTGATTGAGTAAAAAAGTATCTTGAGCTTAACTGATTCAAACTAGCAGTATAACAAATTAAAGCTTATACTTAACTGATTATTTTGAGTCCAAAACATATAAAAATCATGAACAATATTGGAGCTATTGATTTTTAATCATAAAAAACCTCATGAAAAATGGTTTTTATGTTGGTTCTTCACCTTGCGTTTGCTTGAAACTAGTCTGATTTTAATAACTAGTAGCTTATGTGAAAGCTGGTATTTCACTGAAGGTTCTAAGACCAAAATATAGGATATATAATTATAGCTTGTGAAATACATCTTTAATTGATGTGAGAATTCTAAAATGAATTAAATTATGTTTTTTTGGTAGAGTAATACAGTGGATTATTATATGCAGTTGCTTGATGGCAAATCTGTGTGTGAATACCTTCAATTTGAGATCTCAATCATGAACATCGGTCTGGTAGAAGAGCCAAATGATTTCGGAAAAGGAATTTTTAATATATAAGATTTATCATTTTAGTAATAAAATATGCTTCATACAGCTAACTTAATCAAAGTCATATACTTGTTTAGTTTTAGTACCAAATGAAATGAGCACCAAAAGGTCCAAAAGGCTTAGAATAGGTTATGAAAAAACATGTTATTTACGAATCAAACCATTTATTTACGACAATAAAATTTTAAAGACATGTTTCCTATGTGTTTTTGAACAGTATTAATTTGTGCAACTTTTGCCGAAGACCGAATTCCCTTATGTCCTAAAATGTCCCTAAATATTTTCCTAGACTTACAATTAATCGTGGCAATAAATTGTATAATAAAAAAAAACTCGCCTTTGGCTCGATGGGGGCTCCGCCCCCAGGCCCCCTTTTAATAGTAGCCGTGATGAGAAATGTTCACGGGGGACAGGATGTTGTCCGGAAACATTTTTGCGTAAAAGACGTAGTGATAACTTGGCAGTTGCGAAGTATTCCATAGGGGGGTTGTTTAGTGCAAACCAAACCAGTCTTGACATGTAAGAGTCTCGATGTAGGGCCGGTGCTATGATAAATTAGATTTACTTAGTCACAACCTCTAAAACTTTCTTCACATCAATAAGCATCGGTATAAAGTCTTGGGAGTTAGAGTGAGGTAAAATAATATTTTTAAATAATCTTAGGCCCCCTTCGGGGGCGGGGGGTTGAAAAAAATTATCGGCATGAAGAATGGACCCCTTGCGCAGTAAAATGCACCAAAAGTAGGGAAAATAAGGTAAAATTTCAGGTTTAAACACAAATTTGGGAGATGGGAAAAAATTAAACTAAACGCATGGCTCAATCAAATCCTGGTTGAAGTTCGTTCGCTACGCTCACTCACCTTAAGGTTGGAGCTCGTTCGCTACGCTCACTCACCTTAAGGTTGGAGCTCGTTCGCTGCGCTCAGTTGCCTTCAGGTTAGCTCGTTCGCTACGCTCACTCACTTTTAGGTTGAAGCTCGTTCGCTGCGCTCACTTGCCTTTAGATTAGCTCGTTCGCTACGCTCACTCACCTTTTGGTTGCAAATTAGCTAAAGTCATAAATTTAAAAAATAATAGTGCTGCACCCTGTTGCTAATGGTATAATTTTATAAATGGGGATAACACTACATCAAAAGCTTCGTACTTTCATAACGAGTACAATGGTGTAAACCGCATTTAAATCGAATAAGTATCAACAAATATATGACAGTTCATATCAATGAAAACACGGTCTCCCCAGATAAAGTGTATGGCAGCGGCGGTGCGGGCTATACGTTAGGTGGTGAGGGGAGCGCCGGACCGATACGTGTGTATCTCTGAGCAGTACAGCTGCGCAATCCAGTTGTAGTAATAAAGATCGATGGTGCTACCTCAATTTGGATGTTTTCAGTCTATGACTATTTCGTTTCGTATAAAGCAAGAGCGGTTTCCTGATTCCGTTTACTTATCAGACTTGGATACCATAAATAACACGATAATTTTGAGCCGGCATGAACTATGTTGGTTGTCTGATTCAGAATTCATACATGGATGATACGAACAACATAACATTGACTATGGCAACTTTCTTAAAAAGATGAGGTTTTACATGAAATTGGTACAAAGAATCGTGATTAACATTTCAGGACTGGTATAGAATCTAGAAATTCTGTTATCGGCCTATCCCTATTTAAAATACAATTAATATTCGACTAGGACGTAATTCAAGTCATGACCTTGAGTTTTGAGACCGAGTTTGGCTTGATGTTCATATTTTTTGTAATCACGGACGACAACGATGACGTTTCCGTGACCGAGGTTGATGTTCATGATTTTACCGCAATCGCGGGGGTCGATGATGACATTTCCGTGACAACAGGAGTTGATGATGATGTCTACACGGACACGGGAGATGTTTATCACTTTGCCACGATCGCGGGAGATGTTCATCACTTTGCCACGATCGCGGGAGATGTTCATCACTTTGCCACGATCGCGGGAGACGATGATGACGTCTACACGGCGGCGAAAGGTGTTCATGATTTAGCCGCGATCGTGGAAGACTATGATGACGTCTAAATGGTCGCAAGAGATGTTCATGATTTTGCCGCTATTGCGGGCGACGACAGACGTTTCCGTGGCCTCACAGGGGACCTTAATGACGTCCACATGGCCTTTTTACAAATAAGTTTTATTTTCAAGATTCCTTAAGTATTACCAACCTATATTAATGCAAAATACTCAGTTTTAAAAATTGCAACATGCATATTTTGTTTTCAAAATAAAAAAAAGTAGCCTATCCTAAATTCTAAATAAGGTACCGATGGTACAGGAACCGAGAATCAATAGTCAATTAGTTCCTGTTTTGACCAACCCATCACTACTTATGACAAACTATCCTAACACAATGCAAATACAAACAAACCCATTTCTTTGTATAAACTATTTGGACTTATTTATCTAAACTCAATCATGGCTTTACCTGTGAAGGGACTGGCCTATCCAGGCAGCAAAATTTCTTGATTGCAGAGTAGCGGTCTTCTCTTTGAGTGGGGAATATCACCACGACCAACTGTGTCTTTTCAGTAACGGATTCCTTCAAATTCTTAACATAGGTGTCTGGCTTGTCGTCTCTCAGTTTATTCAAACTGGGGTATTCAATTTGAACACCCATGAGAGGGCACACTTTTCCCATCATTTCCACATATCCATGTGCATTACGCTCATCCCTGGATGCAAACATCACAATCCAATTGTCAATGTTGACCTGTGAAAAAAAGAGTTTTCTGCCATAATTTTTTTTATTTAATACCTGTTGCACCAAACCAGCTGACAAAGAACAAAATTCTAAACTTTAAGTCATAAAATCACAATTGAATACACTCTTTATCTTACTTTTTTTGTTTGAAAGAACACTATTCACTAACCACTTCTAGCATGTGTTGAGAAGTTGCATCCCGGTTCCAGTCAGCTTGTGGGTTCCCGTTGGTGGTGAATCCTCTACCAAATGTTATTTGTTCAGGGTTCAATATACGGGCTGTCATCTCTAACGGCCTCTCAGGTACCTGCAACCCCCACTCCTCCAACATCTCTACACATCTAGGGTTACCTAAAACATAACACTCATCGTTAGCTGGCCACTTGAGGCTTTTACATTTTTTTCATTTTGACCCTCAAAACATAAAAAAAATAATAGTTTAGTATGCATAGGTGTTTTGGGAATAACGAATAGAAATTCTAACGAATAGCACTATTTGTTAGTTTTTTTGGTTAACTTCTATTTAATTTGTTAGTTTTTAAACTAGGTAACTAACTAATAACTTCTATCAGTAACTTTTTACTGGACTAACTAATAACTTCTAACTAGTTAGAATTTTTAATTAACTTTCCCAATTATGCGGAAGCATCTCAAATACGGGTTAAATATATGACGCATAATGAAGGTCAAAGACCTAAAATATCATGATTGAGCAATGTTTTATTTTGATGTAAAAATGCAAATCATGGCATTAACTTGAATTCAAATATTTTTCCTGGTCTGCATTTTATATATTATCAATGCTTTGGTTAATTCAAATTATATTTTTGATGAATCAAAGTTCCTAAGCTGAAAAAGACAATCAAAGTCGAACACGGCACGGAATTCTCAAAAAACCTGCAATTGGAATACTCCTCCCCTTTAGGGAAGTATTTAATGCAAGTCTAAAAAATATAGATTCAAGGTCGCACCCTCCCCTTCACCCCTGCCCAACTCCACTATCTGTGGCCCAAGCTCCTTTTGAGGTCATTGCCCATTCCCCCCCCCCCCCCACCATAATATTGTTTCCCTTTTTAGTGTTTCTATTCTGACTTTTTATAACATTAAATCTATTAATCACGCAACAGTACAGTAGTAGATTTTTCTGCTGTAAAACAGTACTATAAAACCAAAACACTACTAGCTATCCGAGTGGCTGAAGGTGGACAATTGAACAGTTTGTTGTTAAATTGCCTTTATATAATGGATGTAAACTATTATGGCGATGCAACACCCCAAGTATCAGGAGACAAGCATGAGTTGACTTTCTTTTGACCTTGGTAGTTTATCTCTATTTTCTGCTTGGTTGGTACTACATTTGGAAAATAAAATTCCCTGACTTTTCCGTACTGATATTATACTTTTTCCAGGTATATCGTAAGTTGATATTGACTAATGAGAATCAAAATATGCAGCGTATGATACAATACCAACGTAAAGGTATATTTGAATTACAGCTCCCACTATTAATAATAATTTAAAAGATATCAACCCTACCTACGAAATTTAAAGCAAAATAACTCAATGTCTCACTTTTTTTTTAGATTTATTAACGTTTTATTCCGTATTGGTATAAATTCAATGAGGAATTGTATTCAGTATCGTATTGAAATCGAAACGATAAATGTAGGCCTCTTTTTCCCCCTCTGTACTGTGTGTATTCAAAGCCAGTGGTCAGAGGGTGATCAAATAACTTGCTTGGTAAAAAACATTGCACCGTGCATCGACCTCAAATTTTCTGTACCGCAGGCCCCCCTACATAATAGTATTATTAAATAATACAGGCATGATTAAACATAACCTTACTTTTTATGTTATTGATTAATTTTTGTAGGTTTAAGACTCTCTGGTTGGGATTGACTCGGGTGATTGTGGCAACATCTTTCATCACTTTAAAGTCAGCTCTCATTTCGTCTGAAAGTCCAGTCATGAAGCACAGTTCTGGAATCAACATAAGTAGGCCAATTCCACCCTGGGAATCAGAAAAATACATTAGCCAAATGTTTCCTTACACATAGTCTAATATAAAAAAAAATAAAAATAAACAATAAACTAAATTTAAAGAAATATTCATAATACAATATAACTATAAATGTACACGCCACACATTGGAATATCAAGATTTTGTATATTCCATAAATGTTAGGGGTGGGCGAGTACTCGATCTTCGAGTAATTACTCAAAGTTTTTTTCAAATACTCGACCTCGAGTCAAGTAGTAATTACTACTTGAAAATTCGAGTCGAGTAGTTATAAATAGTGCCAATTCACTATTTTCTACACCCGTATTTAATAAATTATATTTGTTTTGTGTTGATACCTTATTTAATCCCCATTCCTACAAAAAACAACTATCTAAATTCATATAGGCTAGACCAGCATAAACCAAATGTTCAACAAACAATCATCGTCATTCGGCAGAGCTAGCAAGAGGACTACTAACTTGACTTTCACTTTCCTACAACACAACAGTCAATAATACGTCTCGATAACGATACAGTAAACAAAATTAAGCATTGAATGAATCTATCGAGTTGCAATAGTTGATAGTCAACAAGGGAGTCTCGTGGCATAGGCAGACGATTCTCGAATATATTTTTAAGTACAGTATCAGATTTAGTTTGAACTGTCATAAAATATTTTATACCAAAATCAAAATATAGAAAGACAACAAATAAAAATAACCTATTGCTATTATTGCATAATAGTTTTTCACTTTAATCAGTATTGGTTTTACAAATCAATAAGTTACTGCAAGGAACATCGATACATCTGAATGACACAATCTCATTGGGTCTTGGCATAAAGAAAAGATCAGTTCCACTTCAAACTCAGTGTTCCCAGATGGACGATAATTTTTGTACTTTTACAACTGTGGTACAACTGAGGAAGAAAAGTAAAAAAAAAAAATAAATAAATAAGACACACAGTAACAAGTGATGTGTAAATTTAATGCTGCAGCCAACAAGTAGGTTAGTGTTGTATAGCAGAAGCTTATTATTTTATAATCAATGATGTGGAATACATGTACATATATATATAACATAATCAAGCAACCGAGGCCCAAAGGCAACTGTAGGAAACATAACCCCCACCACCATAGACGATGAGAACGGAAGAGGACAAAGCCCACTTGTCTACATGCTAAAGGTAAAGCCGGCCACAACTATTCTTTGCTCTGCTAATTCGCTAGTCGTGTCTAACCGCTTTTCAGGTTACCTTTATAGTTTATTTTACAAGTCAGTCAAAGTAGCAATAACTGGCGACGAGATAAACAAGTTTTTAGTTTATTTTCATTTGTGCGCATTTAGAACATTTTAGGGATGGATGAGATTGAATTTTTAGTTCGAGACGAGACGAGATTTTTTATTTCTCATAAAATTTCGAGACGAGATCGAGACGGGAATTCCCTTTTCATACACAACGGGAAATGCACGTTCAAAATTTTGTACCTGATTTTGTAACATTGTTAGATGACTGTTTAAATACAAAAATAATGATAATAGGCAAGAATATTTACAATCTTTTATTAAAAAACATCAGCATAACATTTTTTTATTAATCACACCTATAACTTATTAAAAATGCCTACGATTAGGAAACATAGTGATATCAGTTAGGATAGAGTTAAATAAAATAAATCCTAAAATAAAATAAATCATAAAATAAAAGCAATATTAATTTTTATAAAATAGTTAGGCCTACTTGTTTTGACTTTTTTTAGTAATAAAACATTCCTCACACTGCTTACACTTAACAAAACTTCTCAAATGTTATTAAGTAATATTATTAAAATAATTAAAGTAATATTTACATTTATAGAATTAATTAAATAAGAACGCCTTCGCAAAGGAAACACAACTACAACACGCTCCTGTATTGCGGGTATTGCACTGACTTTCTGCAGGCGTTTTTAATTTTTTTTTTTTTAAATTCTCGTCTCGATAAAAATCTCGGCCAAAAAGAAATCTTGTCTCGTGTAACGAGATTTAAAATTTCCCGAAATTTCGAGACTTGACCATCCCTAGAACATTTAAAAGTATATTTTTTCTTTTCTTTTTGTTTTCAGCCAATAAGACTTGGCAAATTTTCAGTTTTCAACCTGCCAGGAACAAGGCATTTTTCAGTTTCATTTTAAAGATTTATGAAGAAAATCTCCCAAAACAATTCTGGAAGAGAAGATTTAAGGTTTTGAAGTCATTTAACCTAATTGTGAAGAAAGAAAAATACATCTATGGACGGATGGTAATGGATGATAGCGCAACACCACGTGTAAGTCCTTCATGTCTAAGTTTGTTGCTAGGCCTAGCCTAAGCCTAATTTCGAATCTCAATGGCATCTAAACAAATTCTAGGAAAAATTAACGAATTTAACATTGAAGTGGAATCATTTGAGAACTATGTTGAAAGACTCGAGCAATTTTTTACCATTAATAAAATTGAAGATGCTAACAAGTTGTCCTTGTTCATCGCTGTCATGGGACCAGAGCTTTACTCTGTCCTAAAAAATTTGCTTGTACCTAAGAAGCCTTCTGAGAAAACTTTTGCAGAAGTAATTACTGTTTTAACCACACACTATGAACCCCGTAAAAATATTACATATGAAAGGTTTGTTTTCAATAAGAGAACCCAAAAAGAGGGAGAATCAATTGCAGAGTTTGCAGTTCAACTTAAACGACTAGCCTCATCTTGTCAATTCAAAGACTTCCTTGATGACGCTTTGCGTGACAAGTTCTTGTGTGGACTTAGGTGTAACGAAATACAAAGTAAATTACTGTCTGAAGATAGTAACTTAGATTTTAAGAAGGCCTTGGAAATAGCCATGGTAATGGAAGATGCCAGCCGTAGTGTGCGGTAACTACATCCTTTCACACAGGGTGAAAATAAAGTTAACTGGTCTAGGCCAAATTTTGTATTAGGCCTAAGGTAACAGGTACTAATAATTAGTAACCATATAACTTAGAAAATGTTGTGTACTTAAACTACCAAATTAGGCCTAGGCAGGGTTTAGGCTAGGATGAAATTTGTTTCAGCAAAATGCTACAAACTCTCTGACAACTAAGTTAAGTTAACTGTAGCAAAAATACTATTCAATAAGCATTTAAGTTAAAACAAAAAATTACAGTAGGCAAATATTACATATTCAATTTTATTTGCAGAAAATTTGCTATAGACCTAGCCTGTAAAACAATGAAGCACTTTTAAGTTGTGAATAGCAAGATGCTAAAATGCTACTGCAGCTTAAACCCTGGGCCTAGGCCTACTTAATGCGCAACTACTCGACTCGATACTCGAGTTTTTACTCAAATACTCGACTCGAATTGAAAAATCACTACTCGCCCACCCCTAATAAATGTTTAGGCCTACTTAATATTTTTTTTATAAATATAAGGTTTAATTCTTTGTTTGAAGTTAATAAACCTTTGAACAATATAAGGTTTAACTAATTGGAAAACTATATAACAAATGAAAGCCAAGTGGCAAGCTCTAGGGGCTAATAGAATGGATTAATGGGCCACAAAATCTTAACACTGATATTTTCTCTTAATTTACAACCTTTTTTCCCCCTAGGACGCTAGGCACAAGCCCCGGATTGTTTTTCAAATTACTTCATTCTATACCTAGGGGTTGCAGCATTATCATTTAGATAAAATCCATTGGTGATTGGTAGGATTTGAACCTGGGTGCTCAGAGACCGAAGTCCCACGCTCTACTACGACTTTAAATGGCTGGTTGAACAAAAATTTGATGTACTGTATGATTGAACAAAAATTTGAAAATATCATTGTCACTGACAAGATAAGCAACCAAGAGATGTTTTTACTTAATCAAATCCTCATCAAAATTTGTTCACATAACGTGAAACAGTTGAGTCTAAATTTCCATAAACTAAGTCTAAAGCTGAATCCAGTTCTTAACAGTAAGCATTTAATTGGCATCCCTCCCAGCGGCTTCATAAAAATATGAGAATACGTACAGGTCTCTTGGTTGGTTTCGGACGATGAACCAGAAGAGGCTGATTATGGTCACGAATCTGGATGCCCTTCCGCTCATGGTATCCAATGTAAGTCATCTGAAAGAATGTGATTCAATTAAAATTTTACACAATGTTTGCTAATATACAAACAACAAACAATTTTCTATATTTTTTCCTTAGACATTAGTAAAATGGTAGTTAGTTTTATTCATGCCAAACTTTAGTTTTTGACAGTTTTTAATTGAAGTACCAGCATTTTTTTAAATTGGTCTCTAAATAGTTATCAATATCAATGTTAACTCCCAAAAATGTTGTTTTATCAACCCTATCTATTTGGGTGTTAACAACAAAATTCACGATTATTTCGATTTTATTTTGTAGTGAATTGAATATAATTAGTCTTTTGCTAACTTAAAATAAATTGTTAGAAGAAAATAAAAATCCCAGTCAACCTAAACCTATGATGATGAAAGAACTTATTTCCATTTTGGTATCAGTCTTAGCAGACATGATGAGATTAGAACCATCAACATAATTTTAGTATTATTAGCTAATTTTTTTATGTCATCAAGTTTACTGAGATGATTTGGCATATCTTTAGTATAGCAAATAAATAATAAAGTTCCTAGTATAGAATCTTGTGACACCCCATGTTTAATTGTTCGGGAATTTGATTCATATTTTACAATTTGATTGCCTTCCGTTTTTATTATTTAGGGTATCTAGTTTATTTCCATTTTAAAATTTAAGACTAATTCCAGATTTTTCAAGGCTGGTTTTTTTTCAACAATTATGTGTTTATACCAAAATGTATCGATTCTCAATACCTATCCCAATTATTATAATTTACCAAATAATTTGGTTATACTACACCAACCCCTGTCTGTATGTCGTAAAAAGGAATTATTAAGATAATTGGGTGTTTTTGAAGTAAAGAATAAAATGCAGCAATGAAAAACTTTAACTAGCCAATTTGGTTTTTTCTGGATCATGAAAATCTTCCACAACCGTGTAGACATCATCATTGACTACGGAAACATCATTGTCGTCGTCCACGATCGCGGCAAAATCATGAACATTTCCGGCAGCCGTGTAGATATCATCGTCGTCTCTCTGTCACGGAAACGTCTTCGTCGCTTCCCGCAGTCTTGGAAACGTCATCGTCAGCGATCAGGACAAAATCATGAACATTTCTCGCGGCCGTGTGGACATCATCACTGACTCCCGCAGTCACCGAAACCTATTCCTCGTCATCCGCGATTGCGGAAAAATAATGAAAATCTTCTGTGGCTGTGGGAGATCATCATGAATGCCTCGGCCACGGAAACGTCATCGTCGTCGTCCGCGGCAAAATCATGAACATTTACCATGGCCATACGTAGACATCGGTCTCCCGTGGTCACAGAAACATCATTGTCGTCTCCCACATCACAGAAACGTCACTGTCATCTCCCGTGGTCTTGGAAACGTCATCGTCGTCGTCCACAATCGGGGAATAATCATAGCATCTCCTGCAGTAACGGAAAATTCTTCATCGTCGGTTACAATCGCGGTCTTATATTCAACATCTCCTGCGGCCGTGTAGACATCATCATTGTCTCCTGCGGTCACGGATATGATCTTCATCTAGAGCAATCACGGCAAAATCATGAATATCAAGATAAAGACTAAATTCCGACTTTTCAAGACCATTTTGAAATTCAATACTAAATCCAGACTTTCCCGTTTTTCCTGACTACTAGACACCCTGGTTATTTCAACATATTGAGACAAGGGCGGTCCTAGACCTATAATTTGGGGGGGGGGGGAAGGTCACCGGAGGATCTGGGGGTATGGAATATCGCCCAGAAAAGGGGGGGGGGGTCTGGGGGTCCTCTCCCAGAAAGAGTTTGAAAATTACGTGCTTAAATGAGCAATTTTGAGATATACAAAATTAAATTGACCTAGCTTAATGTGTACAAGCTTTCCAGTTTTTCAAAGTTCAAGAAATAAAAAAAAAATTAAACATGTAATGTGAAGTAGGCCTATGTCCATTATTATTAAAACTTGTTCCCGATATGGAAAACGATCCCGAGTTTAAGGTTAAGACTTTGTATTCATTCCTACCGTTTACTACAAGTGTAGTCTATAAACTACAGTGAACCTGATTAAACAAATTTTCAACGCAAATTGAACACCTTCGATACCGCTGGTATAAACGGTTTTGGGAATCAGAATAGGCCTAAAACTAGTTTTATTTGAACAATAATGAATTTCACCATTTACTATACACATAATAGACTTCCCATGTAATGTAAAAATTCTAAGCCAAAAAACGTGGTGCAATCCGTTGAGATGGTACCAACTAATGACAATATTCTGTGTTAAATGATGAATCAATCAGCTGTTTGCTATGATACTGCATTGGTTTTGATTAACCCAATACACTAGCAAACTGATGAGATGGTCCTGAACTTCCTATATTTTTCTTGGCTTCAAATTTTTATATCACTCACATGGGAAGTCTATTCTGGGTATAGTCAACGATTTCACTGTCCTTATCCGAGTCAGTTTTCCAACGTGAACTATAAAGAGTGAAATTAAACAACTTCACTTACCTCAGTACCATCAGCACAAGTAAATGTACTTGTGGGATTCAGAGAGAAATCAATATCATCAATACGGTATATCTTGATGGGCTTACGAGTCATTACAGACTGTCCAATCAGCTGTTTCTGCACAACCTCCTTCCATTGGTTACCACCAGTTTGATGGATTATATCATCCCTGCAATTTGAAAATATCATTAAAATCTATAAACGGTATCACCTATCTGATACATACTTTCTCCCATTAGCTTATCAATAACCTTTATCATGGGTAAGCTATGGGGGTAACTATGATATTTTAGGTTAAAAGGCAAAAATCAAAAAAGTTGCAATAACTTCTAAACTGTAATCGTTACAGCTATGAGAGATTGCACTAATTACAAGGACCAGCATAACAAATTAATTTTGATCATAACTGTGAAAATGCATCAAAATTCTGATTTGATTTGATGCATCGAATCGCAATTTGATTCAGTGGTGGTCAAAAACCGGTTTGATTCATGGCGGAATCAGTATCTATATACGAAAAAGCCTGCTGAAACTCAATACAATGCCCGCAATACATGTAAATATGTAATATATTTGCATGTAAATATTGGTTTAATTGTTTTATATTTTTTGTTATGACTTTAACATTGCAAACGATGAAAGTTTTGTTACGTGTAAGCAGTGTGAGACATTATTTACTACTATAAACATAGCCAAAACAAGTCACTCCAAAACCATGCTAAAAATAACACAAGTCTGAACAATTGTTACTTGATACTTAAATAGTAAGACTGATGTTTCAGACTGATAAATTTTGTATTTTTCAAAGTTAAATATCTTAACTGATATCACAATGTTTCCAATGCAGGTTAAAATGTCCAACGTGCATTTACTTTTATGTATAAGAAACAGAGCGTATGTATGGGGTGCACAGAAGGAGCCTCCCCGAAGATTGTGACCATTACACGCTAAGAACGACATCACAATCGGGCACACCCCGGGCAACGCTGACATCTCAGCGGCAAATCCTTCTACAACCGGAAGCAATCGGGTGGCAAGGTGGGAGGCCACGTTGACTAACCCTCCCATACCAGCTAGGGAGGAACTGGCTCCTGGTGGAGGCCTGCATTACACGGTGTGGAAGACCCTAAATCGAATCAGGGTCGAGGTACCAAAATGCAAGACAAACATGCAGAAATGGGGTCTCTTACCAGATGCATGTGGTGCTGTTCAGGATCCTGGCCATCTGCTTATCTGCCTACGCCTAGACCAGTCTTGCACATTAGATGATCTTTTACAAGCGCATGTCAAAGCCATATCGGTAGCTAGTTTTTGGAAAAACAAAGTCTGATTTTCGGACACGGAAAGTAAGTAAGTACCTTAATGTATGAAAAAGGAAATCCCGTCTTGAAATTTTATGAGAAATTAAAAATCCTGTCTCGTCTCGAACTAAAAATACAATCTCGTCCATCCCTGCATCTTATATTTAGTTTTGAAACTGATAAAAAAGATGATCTTTGCCATTACTTCATCATAACCTCTAGTTTTTCATTATTGTCTGTTGAATGTGATCAGCTGGCAACTACACTGTAGTACTGAATGCATTTATATGTTTTAACCCCTTCGCTTAAAGCGACGGCGATTCGCCGTCGTGTTCCCGCGAGCCATTGTGTGAAGCGACGGCGAATCGCCGTCCGCCATTAAAACCAATATTTGCCGAGTTAGTTTCCAAAAAATCCAACAGATCGCATATGCTTCTTGTTCTGCAAGCTTCAGGCTTTCATTTGGTTGTATTTTCGTCGTCCACAGCCTGCCCAATCGGCAAAAACAATCAATTGAAAATTACGATTTACCAGCTGACGTTGGGAACGTTGTCTTGGCAGCTGTCTGCCTTGTTTGTTTATGTTTACATCGTCATTTCACAAAGACAACAGTATTTATATCATGTTGAATTCTATTTTTCGTTTGCAAATAGTTGTTTTATAAAATAAATAAGATGAGTAACTTTTTATTTGTTGATGAGTGTGGAAGGGAATTGGACGAAAGTGAAATTGCTAAACTTATTGAATGTGACAGTGACTCAGACAGTGATTGTTATTTATTTGAAGAAAGGCTTGAGAGTGATGATGAATTGGAAATAAACAATGAACACTGAGCCGTGACTATTTCCACCGGGCGAATGTCACGACTCATGATCAATGGTTCAAGTGTTTTTTTTTATAGTAGGCTAGTTCAGTGTTTCGTTGTCACTCCACGGCCCCCCGAACAAGGCTGTGGGTTTTGTTCTTTTTACTCTTTTTCCGCCAGCAACTCATAGGTTGTGTGGCGTTGCTCGACTCCGGGTCGGCTCATTTTGGTTATCCGATTTCATCTTAAAGTTTGTGGCATGGTTTTTATGTTAATTGCCCCTATTTGGTTCAAGAGGAGACAAACGTCGACCATGGATTAAATTTATCGCGCCACGCGCGCCTTTTGGGTGAGTTTTGCACATTTTTTCTAAGGTTAGGTTTTTGCACATGGTTGCACTAGGTCTGGAACCTAGTCTTGGGGTCGTGGAAGACTTTTGATAGTTAGTTTCCCTGTTCTCTGTGGTTTTGTATAATTCAGGGCTTTGCCCGAAATGCTAGGCCTAGAATTGACTGAGAAATGTTTGTTGGAAGGCCGCTATTTGAGAGAAACTGCCAAGTCAGTTTTGGGTCCTTCTGACTGTTTTGTGGTAGGCCTAGGCTTACAATTTTGCTCAGTAAATGTAATTGTCTTAGGCTACTACTCTGGTAGTCTTTTGTTTCTGTGTCCCGTACAATTTTTAGTGTTGTTTTGTCTTGTAAAATGTTCAGTTTGTGTTACCCAGTCAAGTAAGGTTAAAGTCTTTTATTTTGCTTTGTCCTTGCCAAACTAGTTAAATTAAGTTGAATTAACTGCTCTTAAAGCTCCCCTGAAAGTTTGAGTCATTTTACTCAAGTTTTAAGAAAGTTACAGTAACTTTTAGTTTGGCAACTTTTCATTCAGGTTTGAACTGGGTAACCAATAGGCCAACTGGTTTCAGCCTTTGAGTTAAGGTTTGGGATGGTCTGGAGAAGCTGCTGGAACATTCCCCCCAGCTTTTAAGACCTTTCCGAACAAATTCGGATCACAACTTTTGGAGAAATTAGCAAAAATACATGAGTCGTTGCGTTAGGCCTAAAATTTTTGTATGGAACGTTTTTTGTCAATTTTAAAGTATTTCTCTGTGTTTAAGTGTCAATTGTTCTCTGTTAACTTGTTCTTCTGGCCACTTTGGACCAGACAATTTAAATATTTTCTCTCTATTGGTGAAATTTACCACTGTCACATACCTGTCTGGCCTGCTGACGGTTTTACCGCAAATATTAATGTTACCATTCTTGTACTGTTTAACCTGTTAATTGTTATGTTTAAAATATTGTTATTGTTTAAAATGTTTTATATTGTTAAAGAGCTGTTAAAGAGAGATAAACCTTTTAAAAATTTATAATTTTTTTGAAAATATTATGTTAGGCCTAATCTGTGGATTTTTGGAAGTCAGTGAAAAACAAAACAAATGTGTGACAGTGAACCTTGCCGTAATGAACTTAGACTGTGACTACTGTGTTTTCTGGGTTTGTTACTCAGGGCCCGTGAGGAGGACTAAGATGGACATGTTCTACCACAGCAGAGGGGAAGTTCGCAACACCCTGGCTGCTTCTTGAATTATGGCCCCCTCTCCGCCCTGCTGCATCTCCCCTCCGGTGCTGTCCGCCCGAAAGTAGTGACATTCTACACCGCCCTACCGCAAGTTACCATTGTTGCTGTTGTTGTTATGTTTTATAGTTTTATTCTACAAAAGGAAGAGACTATTTACAGTATTAGTTGTCATAGGCCTACAAAGTTATATTTATTGTTATCTGTTTAAAATTTTATTTTCAGTGAATTAGCCTATTTTGAATTTTTTTAAATTAATGTTGTAAGTGAGTAGGTCAGAGTGGTATCAAAATTTTTTAAAGTTTTATTGAGAGTATTTAATTCATGTATTATTGTTAATTATTGTTGTGTTATTCTTTTAAAATGGTTAATTACAGCTCGTTTCTCTCAAATGGCGTGTTGTTCTTGAGCCTCCATCCATGGTTCTCATTTTGTTAAGTAAAGTTTTGTGAGCCGCTCCTCGGGCCTGCGCATGGATCACGCTTCCTTTTCGTTAGTCTGGGTGCAGGCACGAGGGCATGGTTCATCTGGTAGCAGAGCGTGGTTAGTGGGTTGCGTCCTGGGTGCCTTGTCGTGAAACTTGGTTTCACGACTCGGATACTTAGAGATGCGATCGCTGTCCGCGTTCTGTTTTTTGTTTTGTTTTGAAGAGCCGTGGATGGATTGGTTTCTTGGAAATGTTCTGGCCTGGCAGTTTTGGAAAAAGGTCTTGTTGTTGTTGTGGTGGGGCGTAAACACATTTTATTAGGAGCTCGCCCTTTGGCCGAGGCACCGGGTGGAATCGGTGGTAATGACTTGCATCCTTCGGGAGCAAGAATGTCAAAAGCATGGTCATGTGTCAAAAAAAAAAAAAAAAAAAAAAGGTTTGTGTGTACACCCCATCACACAAGTGTTAGGTGTTGTCTAGTGTATGTATCGGTGTATGTTTGTGTGTGTGTACGTTCGTGGGTCATTTGTTGTTGTTTTTTCTTGCGGTACTTGCGGTATGAATGGGCAGGTTCTTCTTTTGGGCCCCATCAGGTGCGCAGGCATCAACGTCCAGAAGCCTTAGGAATTAAATTTCTGTGTTTGTTTTGTGAAAAAATTTTGTTGTCTATTTTGAGTCAAGTGCTGGTTGAGACTCGGTATGGCGTCAATTGTGCCGGAATATTTGAGGAAGCCGGAGCTGGTGTACGAGGTGCGGTCCCGGGGGGAGACTCCTGGAACTGATGTACGCACTTTGCGTACACAGTTCAGACAAATTGCTAGCATGCCTCAAGCTTGGGTTGAGTCGCTCAGTTTGGATGAGGAACTGGAGGCATGTAAAGAGAGGATGGAAGAGCTAAGTGGGGAAATTGATAGTTGGAGTAGTTTGCCTATGGGCTCAGCTAAGGGTTCGGCTATCACACAGCTGACGCACTGGCGTAAGCGTCTGCTCTTGGTTTCAGGGCAACCTGAAATCCAAGATGAGGACAAGAGCTGGGTGGAAGCCAGAATTCTTGAGCTGGAAGG